GACACTACTGCAATTAGCGGTTTAAGGTCCTGGGTTCGATTCCTGGGGAGACCCCCGAATTAGTCGGGAGCGCGAGATTATGGCTACCTGCTGAGATGTGAAGTTGAGGTCACAGCTGATGGACCAGATTCGCACGCTGGATTGGTGGCGATTGCCGAACCCTCCGTCTCTTCGGGTGTTCGGGTGAATGGATGAGGAGGGGTCTCTGAAGGCTGGACCCACCGCCTTGGACTTACAGTTCGTATGGCGAAGTACAGTGTGGTAGTGGTGGATGGTGCTATAAGGTGATAAATGATCTAGAACTGACAATGTGATAAAGCGGCCCAGAAGCCTCCCACTCTGTAACATTACATTACATTACATTACATTACATTACATTACTTATGCGCGACGGCGATTTGGACATGGCGAGCGTCACAGCAAAGCTTCTCTCTATCGAGACGGCTAACGGTGGGTCGGGCAAGCCTACCGAGTCGGCAGCCTTCGCGTCTGTCGGCGGTTCGACGTTCGGCGCATCTACTTCTGGTTATGGTAGCCGGGGGCCGGCTAACAACAGCTCGGGACACAGTCGGAAGCAAGTCATCTGCTACTACTGTAATAAGCCTGGGCACGTGGTTAAGGACTGCAGGCAGCTTAAAGCGCTGAAGCAGTCGTCAAATTCTGGCTATAAGGGTGGGTACTACAACAACAGTGGCAACGGAGGTAGTGGCAGCGGAGCTAGCGGCAGCAAGCCAGGATCCGGTGGATCAGCTAGGGGGCCAGGAGTTCCACGGCAGGTAGCATTCGTGGCATACAACAGCAATCGTCCGACGGAATGGTTTCTGGACTCAGCCGCCACTCACCACATAACGTATGACCGCTCAGAACTTTTCAACGTGCGGTTGTTGGAGCCGTGGGAGCGCTTCAACATCATGGGCATCAAGGGACAATCTCTTCGACCGACTGAAGTTGGCACGCTTACGATTCGGTCTAACGTCAACGATAAACAGGCCATCACTTTCAAGAAGGTCTACGTCGACGAGGAGGCCACCGCCAAAATCATATCGGTCCGCATCATTGATGATCGTGGAGGCAGTGTGGTCTTCGGCGGCGGACAGGCGAAAGTATACGTACAGAACCAGTTGGTGCTGACTGGAAAGCGGGATGGGGACTTGTATCCCGTCTGCTACAGCAGTGGAGGTACGGGAGCTCTGAAGAGGACGCAGCGTGAAGACAACAGGATACCTTATTGAAGAATGGCG